GCTTTGATCTGCCCCGGGATGACAGTGCGCCAAACTGTCTCCCATTCAAATGAATCTGCCAGACAGTTGGGAGACATTCCTCAAAGGGTCACCAGCAAAGGGTGGCTCCGGCCCCGTGCTCCTTTATAATGTCTCCTCACCGCCTCATCTGTCTGCCGAGCAGGCCTGCTGTGATCTCCCCCCCACATCCCGGCTCAATTTGTATGCAAATCCTCCCTCATTTGCTCTTGCTCCCTTCAGAAAGGACAAATTTAGTATAATAACTGTAATTGCTTTAATAACATGAAAAAAACCGACACCTTTATGGGACCAACAATCAAACACTGAAATTGTAACACAGCGTGACAGGTGTGGAGGCATGCCACCATTACCGATTTTCCCATCTCAGTATTTCTTTCACCGTCTTGAAAAGCGCTTATCTCAGTGAGCCAGGCACGGCTGCTGGCTCCTGGGCTCTGGAACTCCGTGCAGGTCACCACCAGTCAGGCATGGCTCCCACCACAGAGTCCCGTGGCTGGCGATCAGTGGGCTCTGCCGGGTGCTGGAAGCCCTCTCTGGAAGAAGGTACGGGTGGGCATGACCTGGTGAGGTAGAACCGCTATCCATATCTCCTCAAACTGGTGTCCCTCCTCAGCTCCATGGCGGACTTACCAAGTATCTTACGGTCTACAAGTCACAGGTTCAGGCAGACAGCTACCTCTGCTTCCCATCAGAGAGATGGAGGTCTCAGTGCCATTCACAATGGTGGCCCCTGTCTCCAATTACACTGCACCCCTGTTGCTGAGCTGGCCAGGGTCTTTTAATGGCAACTTTTTCTGGTTTAATTCTGAGATTAGCAAATGAGAATCCATTTTCAGCATCAGTCAGCTGGACCAGGACATGCTTAATCTTGGGTTTTAGTTACACTCAAGCCCATTGACTAACAGTTACATTTTATATTTGCATTGTAACCTGTAATTTTAATCATAAAGCAACCTCAAAGCTAGTCCTCCTGTAATAGCCCCTGCTTTACCACAAGATAAACCCATCATCAACAATCAGTTACTGCATGAACCAGAGTTCCCATCCAAAATATGCAATTATGGAAATGCAAAAGATGGTGAGACATGGGTCTTCATGCACACTCTGGTGGAGAGAGGCCACAATACTATGTCTCATCTGGAGACAACTGAGAATGAACCAATACTTTTGAGTGCAAGGAGAACTCCAGACCTGCCTCAACAACGACTCTGAGGACACACTTGCATGACGCAGGAGACATACATGTAAACAGGTGTGATCACCAGGGGCTTTTTTTAAACCTTACCTTATTTTTTAGACCTTTTAAAACATACAGTCAGGAATTAAAACAATCAAATCAGTAACTGGAAATGTTGATTATTAGTGACCACCTCCTTCAGGTCTTACTTGGGTCAGATGTGAAGTGATTCTCACAGGTGAAGCATTTGAGAACATGCCAATCATCAGAGTCCATGTAGTATAAAACGCCAAACTTAAAAGAAGAAACAGTTTCTCTTCCTTTTGATTTGACCCAAACCTAACACAAAACTGCTGAATCTCTCACAAGCAACCAGAATAAGATTCACCATCCCAAAGCAGCTTTATGGAAAATTTCTCCTCAGCGTTGAGAATGGAAAAACCAAGAGATTTCTTCTCTACAAGTACTGTATACATTTTCGTGAATGTCTAGGTCACCAATATATCTACATATGAAGCCACCATAAAATATTTTACCTTGATATTAAAATTCTTCAGAGATCAAAAGCAAGTGCTAAAAATAAACAAGATATTTGCATAGCCCATAATAGTAGACTCCTATATTACTGGCACCTCTCAGTGGAGACAGGCCTGAACCAAAACCTCAGGCCTGCACATCATACCAAGAAAAGAAAACAAATAAACAAAAAGCTAAAGTTGTGTCTCAGATCCCAGAGGGTTACCAGGAATGTTCCTGGTTCTGCTGAAGACTTTGGTGCTTGACTGCTTAGTACTCTTCATGCTACAGGAAAAAAGAAAAAAAAAAGAAAAAAGCTCTCTTTCAGACTAAAGTAGAGCACTAAACTCAGTTTGCCATGTGAATGAAATGAGAGAACCCTGAGGAACAAGATCTCAGCAACATACTGCTATCTTTGGGTAAACATTTGTTTGCAATATCGTTTTAAAATAATACTGTCGACTTCAGTGATTGACGATTTCACCCCATTTATCACTGACAACTAGAATTATTTTTTCAGCTGTGGATCATGTTAATTGTGGAAGCTAATAGGGAGGAATGTGAGGTAAATGGTCTCAATACCTTTAGTATATGTGATGACTTTACCAGACTTGCAGTACTGTATTTACTGTAACCAAAAGGTCATGCTCTATATTTTAAAGGTAAACAGTGAACTTTCCTGCATCAGTCACACTCCTGCAAATCATGTACAAAAATATTTTTAGAAAAGGCAATTAACATTTATTTTTTTTAAATTAACTTTAGTTTCAGATATTTGAATGAAGGCTTTCAACTTTAACTGACTCATGTGTAAACCATAGTGTGGTTTATCTCACTGGCAAACAAAGCAATTTACTAAAGACGGACTAAGGCTGTTATAATTCAAATTATTGACAATGAGTGCTTATTTCTTCTCTGTAGCAAGGTAAACATTGAGGCAATGATGAGATTGCATTGTTCATTCCACTGTTAAATAAAAAAAAAAAAAAGGCAATTTCCCAGATACTACAATTTAATCAGCTTTAATTTTAAATGGTACAATCCCATTCAAATCTTGAATCTCTAGGTCTTACAAAGACACCATACATGGGAATGCTATAGTAAAGTAATTCTGATCTACTTTTGCAAATAGGCATTTGTTGCTATAGGAATTAAAAATACACAATTTTGATACTGGCAGAAACGGGGTCTTTGAAAGATATGCACTAATACTCTAATTTGGGTGTATAAGCTTCTCTGAGGGTATGCCATTGAACCCATTGAACATGGTAGCACACATAGTCTACTAGGAGATGTACATTAAGCTTGTGTTTCAAAAAATAGCAAGATGTGTATTAGTAGAAAATAGGCATGTGCTTTCAAGTAAATGAGATAAAGTGACACAGGACAGAAAATCCTATTTTAGCATGTGCTAACAGAATGCAGAATGGCTTAATTTCTACAGAAGAAATTTTTAGAGTGCCAACCTTAACACACAGCAGGAATTGTTGCTTTAAAGGGACTGTGTCAAAGTTGACAGGCCCAAAATGTAACCTACCGTAAAATTAAACTTTTTACAAAATGCCCTTTTGATCCTGAAAAATCTATCAATCTTCCAAATCCAAGACTGTCACATTGTTAAAATACCAAATACTTTGCAGTATGGTGGGCCATTAAACTTGGTTTGATTTTGCAACATGTATATGCAAGTCATGATTTCGCTCTGTCCTTCACAGTATCTTTGGGACTATGCATTTAAACAGTACCAGATCTTTTGTTTGATTCCCATGATTTAGCATTTCAGTCAGCAGTAATTTATAACAAAGCTATGATATGATGCTTCTGTACTCCAATGGTAAATGTCTCATTAGAAAGAGGGTCGTTCTTCATACATGGAAGTTGCCAAACCACAAAAGGATTTATTTTTGTCTTGATTTACTTAATACATGCAAATACTTTCCAGTGCACACTGAAATGCAATAAATTATAGTTGCAGGGCACAGTAATAAAAATGAACAACAGCATTTCGCTGTTTCAAGGTTACAGGTAAAAAAGAAGTGCTGTGATTGCTGGTTTTATTTTTTGTTAGTTTTAGCTCACAATCTAATAGTGAGAATTGAGAAAATTAATTGTGAATGGTTTTCCTTATATTGCCAGAAAACATAATAGGCACAATTCATGCCTCTTACCTATTAGCATGTGGGCAGGTTCTCAAATGTATGTATACATTTTCATGTGAGAGGAAATGTTTCTGTGCTTGGAAATTAACAGCTTTTCATCACAAATACGATCATTACCAAAACCAGGCTATTTTCAGGCGATGAGTCCCTCTATTCCCATAATAGTAGTATGGCTAGACATGGATTATGGATTATGTCATACCTCCTTCTCATACTGTCAGCTCTTATTTTTCCATAATCATCCTAAACCAGCACAGGACTGGTGGTGGGTTTACTGTAAACCTGACAACCAGATGATTAAAATATCTCTCTTCTGTCCTCCCCACCTTATTGTCACAGATAACTGGAGCCGCAGACACTACTGTTAGCACCAATATTCACATTTGAACCCCTACCTTTTCTAGACAGCTTCAGTGATTAAAAAATTAAGACATATTTAAGCCACCATAAATGGAAGTGCTGAACATCCTTGATGCACAAACATACACTCCACAAACAAGCCTGTCCTGAAGGTATTCCATCAAAACCCACCAGAATACCACATATTACAATTTCCTAAGAAATCGGGTGAATGGACAAGCAATATATAGAGAATACTTTGGCTTCTCTAAATATAGCTGTGACAAAAGCTGAAATACAGCTGTGACAAAAGCTAAAGTACATTATATGCAGCTAGCAATAAGCATATATGTCTCAGAGCTAGTTAAATTAGACGTGATCTTCAGTCCAACCCACACAATGAAGTCAGTCAGTTCACCCATGAGGGCTGGGGATTGAGAAGGGTAATGATCTTTTTCAGTCTCAAGAACTGAACAGAACTCAGTCCAAGTCTCAGAACAGAATTCAGCAACGCTACTTGATTTCAGGGGTTCTTTTTAACTGAAGATACTGAAAAAGGTATGTTTTTTATTTTCACGTAGGATATGGGACTCTCTCTCATCCTTGTGTTAACCTAGGCCCTGGATGACTAGCTCTACAGCTGACACAAACAGATGCTTTTATTTGTTTGAACTATTAGGTCAAAGGGCTAATGAGCTAATGAAAATTCTTTCAAGAGCTATCAAATGAGGCATGATTAGCAGATTTTCAGTTCCTATTTATATGAAACAAAAGAATAAAAAAAAAAATTCGCAGTTTCCAAATCTTTTATTTCCATCCTAGTCTTGGTAAAAGACAGAATTAAAAATTATAAAATGAAAAAAACATACCTCAGTAGCTGAATCAGCAACTCCAGTCTGGCTCAGCAGTGCTGTACTTCTATCAGCTGTTACAACTTACATTGTGAGAGTCTTTTCTATGCAAACAGTGTTTGATAGGGTAACATTGAGTTGTCTCAGCAAGCTTTTATTTTTTGTATAGTATTTTCCTTTGTTCAACATCTGTAGCTTTTTTGGGTATCCGTAGTTTGCCATGTCATTTTATTTAAAAATAATTTCTCGTCCCATAAACATGCCCCTCAGTTTAACATTACGGAATAATTGTATAAAGATTACCTCAATCTCTGCTCCACCAATAAACCTTCAATATCATTTAGATGTATTTCCAGAGTAACAACATCTTGCTGTGAAAATAAATCAGCCAATTTTTGGAAGTTTCTATTTTATATATATGCGTGTTTGTAAAGGTGCAACTATGTATAATTTAGCAATGATTATACAGTAATATTTGTTTTCATCTAGGAGTGAGTAACGTATCTTGAAGATTCCTAATCAAGGTAATACGCCATACTCCCAAACTGACTACTACTCAAGAAAACCAAACTTAGCAACTCAACTCTACACAGTGTTTATTTTCTTTTTTTTCTTTTTTTTTTTTTGATAGTGGAAATCATGTATAAATCACAAACAGTACAAGTTGCTCATGTCAGCAGTTGTCCACTTGAAAGGGTCAACTTCTGTGTATAGACACTGTATTTTTAGTATAAAGTCAAGATAATATGGCAGTTAACTAATACCTTCAACTACAGTAAAGATACAAACTTCTGTAATATAAATTAATTGCCATTACAAAAAGGCAACTGTATTAACTAATACGGTACAAAAATCTGCAACTTCTATAAATATAATGAAATGCAAGAAGTTAAATGAAATAATACATCACAGATTTTTGTATAGCACATTTGAAGAGGCAAGCAAAGATACACATAGAGCATCATACAGCAAGGGAGAATATCAAAACCCCACTAAGATTTAACTTTTTTTTCCATACAAATGCTAGAAGTACAAGTACAGGACACAACATGGAAGCAGGAAGATTACCAGCCCAGAGTGGGCAGACAAAGAGGCCTTACTGACAAGTTGTAAAAGCGTTAGGCAGCAGACAGAAGCTTGTCAAAACCAGCTGTTGTTGGATACTGATTGATAATGTTTTCATTCTGATGGCTGAGACACTGCAGACAGCCACAGGTCTGAGAAGAAGCCCAATGTGGGCACATACACATACACACACATACGCGCACAAAGTAATTTAACAGATGGCTAAAGAACATTAAAGCACAGTATCTTTTTTAAAAAAGACAATGTTCACTCCTTGATGAACTTGCATGGAAAGTAGAGCCTAGTGCACAAGTTTATTTCACCTAAATGATGAACACGTGAAAAGATTGAAAAGAAAAAAAGAAAAAGAAAGAAACAATTGAGATTGGTCATCTGCATAGAAACTGCATGGTGCTTACACATTCTACCAAAGCCAGAGCATCCAACAACACTTTAGACAAGGAAGTGTGACATGAGCTGCTACAAACGTTTTTAATTCCCCATTAAAAAGTGAAAGTGTTCATAGACATTGAAAAGGTATACATCCATTAAGTCCATCCACAACACAAAACCACAGAAGCACTACATTCAAAGTAAAGTTAAGTGTTGGTCTTAGCCTTAAGCAGTTATGAGGTATTCTTTCAACCTGTGGTGAGGAATGATCACTGTATTAGTAAGAAAAAGCATATTCAAAATCATTCTGAAAAAAAAAATAAAATCACTGCTCCTGTGCAGTTGGCATTTTCCTTAAGAAAAAGCATTAAGTGTCACAAGGTCCCAGTCTACGTGGCCACTGGCACATGCTAAAACCATATTCTCATCGACTGCTTGGGCCTTTTGCATGTTAGTCACATAGCACCTTCCAACAGTGCAAAGTTGGGAAATCACGACCAAAATGTAACTCGGAAACTCTAAATTTTTTAGACCAGGCTCACTGATTGTACAAATAAACATGGTTTTAAGAATGCAATACAGTTGGGCTTATTTTCACTTGCTGTAGCTTTTGGTCCATAATTTTAATATGGGAAAGAAGGGGAAAAACTGTAAACAAAATTTCTCTCTCATCTTCTAACTAATGCTCAATGAAAAAGCAAGTAAAAGCTCTCAGTCCCTCTTTTTGCCTCTCCAAACTGCCTGCCTTCTCTGGGAAGTAATTTGCTCACTCCTCCCCACCACTTTGTGTTTGTTACTGTCCCTAAACAGGACAGAAATCTGGGTACCTGGTGAATATCTGTGGACTCCATAGCCTCCAAGCTCACATCAGCTAAGAGAGAGTTTGGAACTGTAAATCTGATCCAGTTCCTCTCTAAATTCGGGGAAAGGAGCCTCCTTAACCCACACAGGAGAAACTGATGGGCAGCTGGGTCCCATCTAAACTGTGCAGAGAGAACCAACACAAGGGTCCTCTCCTTGTTTTAAAATGAACAATTCCAGTTCTTGGGTATTTCCAAGAGTGAGACAATTGACCTGGCAGAAAAGAGAAAAAAACAAAACAAAACAAAGAGAGATGCCCTTCAGGCTTTCTGCCTATTCTATCACAAAATAAAACAAGGAGCTTACCAGTTTTCCCAGCTTCTTTCTGATAATAGGAAGCAAGTTAAAACAGTGATCATCATTTGTACAGAAATAATTCTGAGGGAGCAATGCAAGAAATCCATGGAAATTGAAAAGTAAACAAAAAACCTATTAAAAACATTTTGTTTAACAAAGAGTATAATTGCAAGTAATGGAGAAATGGCTTTTATAAGCCTTTAAAAGCTGATCCTTGCTATTTTCTTATTCCCAAATAAACTAGTGAGAAACTACAATAAACTTCAAACTTAAAAAATAAATGCTGAGAATGGGAAGATATGTTGCTTAAAGCCCTCAAAAAAAGGAGTTACGAGTCTCAAAACACAAGGAGAGTCGACGAGGAACCACTGACACATGACACTGACCGTTTGTGTTCGCAGACAGTCGTGCAGGAGGGTAGCTGGATGCAGAAGGCACAACACTCAAGGCGTGCACCAGTCCAGTGACTGATCTGCACATACCCTCTTGTGACTAACTTAATGGTGAACCAGTGACCTGGTGTGATGCCTTCAAGGGCAAAATCAGTTTATAAGGTTCTAAAAAAAAAATCAGCAAAAGGCAGCCAAAAAACTGCAAACCTACCATAGGGAAAACTTGGGAAGGGGAAATATGCACTGTGTTACTGGAACTAAATAGGATTTTCTCAAAAGATTTTTTCCAATGAATACTTTTTTGTCTTCTAAGTAACATTCAGCCCAGAAGCAGTTTGAAAGAATAGCAATTATCCCCATGAAAAGAGAAGCTTATAGTACAAACACTGGAAGGCCCTTAAATATGATATAGATGCCTCAGCAATTTTATGAGAAGAGTAGTACTCCAGGAGTGAGTGATAAAGGAAGCAATCCTTATCTAAAATCAGTCATATTCCTAACTAGTAATAAAGCTTCCATAGCTGAATTAACAGATATTTGTTTTGCTTCTCTTATGGAAAACTACTTTAAATGAAAATTATTACTTTATCCAACTTTTGTATATTTTCTAAAAATATTTTTACTTAGACCACTTGTTTACATCACTTATTTTTCCCAAATATTGTTACCTGCACACATCTGCTTGCTAATTCACCTTTCAGGAAACTTCCAGCAAAATAACGGTTCTGCCTTTGACAAGGTTATGCTGTCACTTTAGAAGAGGAATCAACTAACTTGTCAACTGTGTTTTTACTAAGTAAAACTTCAGGACTAATCTTTGCATTAACATGAAACTGCTTGCTTTTATGGTATCCTACTAAGGTACTCAGTGGCTGTGCTTTCCATACTGTAGGATCAGTAAACAAGCTAATACAAATTAGTCTCACAAACCCTTAAGACATTAGTTATTTTTAAAAACCAAGGTAGCAGGTAGAATTCCTCCTCTACAGACTATGTTATTTTTGTGCGTGTAAAATTTCCTATCAAGGATGACTGCAATGTAAGAAAGGAACATGCAGTGTGTGTGCAGAAACAGCGGTAAACAAAGAGGAACTCCCTATTTCAGTAGTGTAGACAACTTTACTGGAAATAGTTGTGTACCTGGTTCACAGAATATTTATTTTCACAAAAGGACATTCTGCACTAACTGTGTATGAACAACACATCACAGCACAGTCTTGATAGCACGTTATAATTCAGCTGTGAGCAGAATGTGCAGGTACAGTGATGCCTGGAGAACCACTCTTCTCTCTTGCGTTTCACATTCTTGAAGGTTCGAAGTCTCTCTCTTCTAGCAAGTTTATTAGAAGGGAGAAGCTGTCTTTTACTGCTTCCATATCATCCAAGGAGCAGGGTTTAAGAATCCAGCGCTTCCCACGAGCAAGTGGCTCAAGTTCAAAATATTTTTTTATCTAAGAAAAAAAAAAAAGAGACCAAGGTATTAATATTATAATGACAACTCTGTCTCTCATCTAAAAAGCCAAACCAAACCAAACCAGCAAAAAATCCCATGTAAAAATATCAGGATACTCATTTTTAGAATCTTACGCACAGCTGTTCTTATAATACAGGTTATATGATGTGACCTGAAAGTGTTTTCTTTAGGGGTGAGTGACCTGCTTGGAAACTACCATTCTACCCATACACTTAACAGCATGGGAGGTCTTAAGGCAAAGAGCAAAGCACATGAAGCAAGTGTTCAAAAACACAGCCAAAACAGCAAAAGTAACTAAGAAATTTTAGGTTGTGTTTGTATTTTGATGTTAAAGCTGTATGTTTCATCATGCTCTTATTGGCAAACAACATAGAGAATTTGTCGTCAGACTACTCTAACTACACAAATGAACTGTCAAAAATGTAGAAATCCTAAACATTCCAGTCAAAATTGAGCTATCACAGAGGGATCCTTAATGACCTTGAAAACACTAGAAAAATAAAAATTCTTCCAAAATCAGTTAGTTTTTCTGAAATTAAACATAGAAGGACTAGCACACTAATGTGACTAGGATAGTAATAAGTATTATACATGAGACATTACAGTTTTCTACAATTATCTTAATTCAAAATCTCGCACCTTCCAGCAGACTTCCAACAGCTTACTAACAATACCCAAAAATGCCTATAAAGAAGGAAACCTTTCAATTAAACTAATTCCATTTTTATTTCCGCAGCAACCATGCAGCAAGGAGGCATAAGAATATGACGTACTACAGAATTGCAAGTTTTAAGGTGTTTGTAAGCCTTCACAGCAGAGGCTCTAGACAGGCAACTGGAGCCACACTGTGTAAGGCTCCATGTGCAGGGCAAATAAGAAAAGAAAGAAAGAAAAAAATAAAAAGGCTTCCAAAGCCCAAACAAGCTGCAACATCTCTACACAGTTCTTATAGGGTCTATACAACAGTTTTGTTTATCTGGTAATGTACAATAATAGAAAAAAAACAACTGTGGTTGTATCAACTGAATCAGAATTCAACTATGACAATGTGGCAGGAAGGGTTTCTTATTTTTCAGAAAGGAATTTTGAGCAGAGTGTTTAGTAACAAATATCAGAAAAAAAAATGGTGGTTTTGAAATGGGAACCTCTGCTTGCTCAGCTAAAATAAAGGTGAAACCTTTTAAAATCTACTTTCAACAAAGCAGAATTGTATCAGTAACAACCTACAAACATTAAAAAATCAAGCACAGTACCTGACATTCCCTTCCCCTCAAACAAATTTCAGAAAACATAAAAGTTCAAATAAATGGGACTTCAACAACCAGTATTTTAACACCAGCATACCTACTTTCAGCATTGCTACCTCCATGCCACATTAGAATCTGATATGGTAACATGCTTATACGTGATCAGAACCTGAATGCTAATCTCTGTGAGGGATATAATGCAATGCCTTCAGCAGCTGAACCGACACCAAGTTGAATTTACCCCCATTAATATATTGAATTAATGGCACCAATCATAGTACTAGAAAAATAGGGTAAGAAAGCTCTCGTCCATTTCAGCAACAGCCTCCTTGAGTGCTAAATAAGGGGAGCAAGTAAAAGCTGCACAGAAGCATAACAAAGCAAGGTGTCAGTGCAGCTAGCTGATAGAGCAGCCGGCTGGTGTTAAGCTGACAAATATGGCTGAGTAATTTGAGATGTTTCAGACCCACAACCCTGAGGATGTCCACCACACCCCCTCTACTGGAAGACTATTGCCATCAGTCCCTTGAGCTCACTGAAGTCTCACCATGCTCTTATTTACACAGATTCTTGAATTAAGGCTACACCCTACAAAGACATGATTAAGAAAAAGTCATTATATTGTAAGGAGAGCACCTGGGTTTAAAAGCATTAAATATCTAGAAATACGTACATAAGCAAATGACAGCAGGAAGCAGACTAGCACTGAGTCTTCTGCACTTGTAGGCAAATATGACATTGCTTACCAAGGTAGCCTCTTGCCAAGAAAAGCACAATGACTTTAAGCTATATTTCAGTGAATGCAGATGCCAAGATAGAATTTCTATTTTGGCAGTAAACCAGCATCAATTGATTTAGTAAAACAAATTTTGCAGATAAATTATTTATTTGGATGTCCAACGTTGTTTAAAAAAATTTTTTTTTCCAATTTCCAGGTGTGTAATCAAAATGTAACAAAATTAGCAATGTGCTGTCATCATTTTCCATGCCTAAGGAACAGTTCAGAGTATCTGCACTAATAGGCAGATAACAGACCCTAGATGAATGCTGAAATTAAAGTGATCATTAAGCAGTGGCTTTTGAAATGGGAAGTTTTGGTAATAGCATGAAAGAACAACTGCTTATATTCCAGTAAGTAACAGCTACTTTGTTCATACCTACAGAGAAAGAGATTTGTTAGGTGATGTCTCTAATCCAAATGTGGAAAAGTAACATTAATTAGCTTACAAATAACAAATAATTTAACAAGAAGTAGCACAGAAGTGACTCTCCACAACCCAAGGGACACTCATCAGTATGTTACTCTATTTCCCCATTTAAACTCCCACCACAATGGAGTTTGCTAAAGCCCAGAGTTTTGCAAGCTGGCTCTATGACTTTGAAACTTACAGAAAGAAGTTTGCAGACAGAAATATTTTCCAATTTACTAGAACTTCTCCCCCCTTTAACTGAGCAGATGTCATTCAGTTCTAAAAATGAGTAAGTTTTTTTAGACTAGAACCCTTTTTCACATGCAAGAGATGAAACAACTGCACCAAAATAGACCGACACAATCAGATGCCCAACACTGTTTATACAGTTGAGTTTTCCACTGAAATGCTCTCAGTTCTCCATCCGCTTTTGTTTCTCTAGTTGCTTTCTTCTCCTATGACCATCATTCACACTCATTCCCCACTAGATTTCTTAAGAGGATGCACACTAATCATCAAAATATCCAAAGGAAGCTGAAATTCTCCGAATACTCACTCACCTAGGTATTTCTTGCATAATCAGATAATCAGCAGTAACTACTTTACAGCTCCCTTCAATCGCACTAGCACAATAGGGGTGAGTTCCTAAGAGAAGCTCTTTTGTCTTCCCCTCTTGCATAAAAGGTGAAAAGCCTTCTGCCTGTTGGTGGATGCCGAAGCAAAATATAAAGACTCAAACATGCCTCAGATGTCTGACACATTAGAGGTGCATTTACATACTGACTGCATTTTGAAGTGTTTACTTTGGGATTGCTGCATTTTTTTGGATATGCTTTTAGAAGAAAATACAATCAATTAAATCCACATAATTCTAAGACTTCTTTACTACTATTTTACAGGATCTCACTGTATGTCTTGACTCCACATGGGGGCCATGTTTTATAGAGAAGCCGACATTGTATTTATGCTGCATTCTGAAGTCAATAAAATCTAACAATACACATTTGCAATTATTCCCACTCTTCCCACACTCCACCTTCTATTCTACTGGCACAATACACTAAGCATATGGTTATCAAATGTTGCTTAACCTACATGCTAGAAAAGTCAAGACACAATAAAAGGATTGGTGCCCAGAACCTCAGCTGGGGTAAATTAGCACAGCAGTGTGGAACTGATGTTACTAAATTGATATACGCAAGCTGAGTAACCAGGCCCTGCTGAAAGCTTTTATATGTTCTATTACTGAACCTCATCTAGCCAGTTCTCAACACACATGAACGTAAGATGTATAGCAAAACCTAGACACTGGACTATATAAATACGGAGTCATTTCTATTAATTACTCAACATGGAAAAAAGCTGTTTGAAAATAATATTTTTCATTCAAATTCAAAACTTTAATACCAAATTTCACCAACACAAAAAGGCTTCCAGCCCACTGGAACCTTCCAACCCATTGATTAACTTGTTGTAAACAAATAGAAATTTTGGGTAGTCACTTACACTACCATGTTGCATTTGGATAATTTAATGGTTAAAATATTTTTTTATCCATTGTTATTTTACTGAACAACTTTACTGGGAAAAACAAATCTGTAACAACGCATCACATGTATATTATATCTAATCAAAGGCTGCACGGCCACGTCAGCATCCCTACTAGTATAAATTTTTCAAAGACTTTTACAGGATTAAGCAAGTACTACTGCAAGAGGGTGACTGGTGGAGTATGAATTAAACTAAAATTACCTAATCTGTGTATTAATCATAAGAAATGGTTCGTTCATCTACCCATCTATCCCAAATTTGCACGGACAAGAAATGCAGTAATACCGAGAGACTGGGATTCCCTGTATTCATATTGTGAAAGTTTCTTTGAGCTGTGATGCTGAGATTACCTCTTCAGACAACACAGAAATCTGCCTTTTGGAGAAGATGCAGGAGAGAGAGGCAATTTTGATTGCCGGGTGCATGAAGGACAGCCGAGCTGCCTGTAACAGTGACCAAAGCATGCGCAAATTCAGTATCTTTGGAGAAGAGAAAAAGCCAAAAGCCCATCACATAGCATTAAGTTTAAAAAGGGAAACGACATGAAATGAGTAACTTAAAGAAAGTTAACTGTGCAGCTAAAAAGGTAAAATGCTTGCAGGTGTCACAGAAAAAAAAATACCATAATTAGAGGCTCAGAGTATATTTATACTGCTACCTAAGACTTTAAAAGAAACAAAAAAAGCTTCCAACAGTTGCAATAAGGAAAAGGATGGTATTAGAGGTAAAAGAAGTCGTGTCTAAAAAGGGAAAACAGAAAACAAAAGAAAGGAAATTCTGGCAAATGAAACAGAAACCACAAATGTTGACCTACTAACCATAGAGAGGAACCCATTGCTTAAATCACCGCTGATGCTAAAAAGTAAACTGAAATCCACTCTAGTTTATATTAGTGTGCTGGACTGCAAACTGCACGGCCTCTTGAGCTGCTACACGTGCTTTTCTGCTGGTCCTGTTCTGAATATAGTGATTTATAAGAGTGGGTGGAA